AAATTTTAATCGAAACTAGGACAAATTGAAATTTTAATCTGAACTATTCACAGCGGACTAGTTCATATTAAAATATTTTGATCTCAACTAGTTCGTATTAAAATATTGTGATCCCAACTAGTTTAGATTTAAATGTGAAAAAAAAATCTTTATTTTTTGTGACATAAGAACAAATGAAACTGTAACATATAACAATAATCTCTAACGAAGAAAAAAAGCTTGACTAACAGTTTTTACATTTCAAGCCATTACCACCATGACATTTAGAACAACACATCCGATCTTTTTTCTTGCATTGACATCGATTTGTGCTGCAATCACCATTACATTTACATGTATTAGCCGATTTGAAACTGGTGTAAGTCTGGCATGCTTGGATGAAGCTAATCGATGATAAGAATTCGGTGTTAAGAATTCGTAATGCCGTAAAATTGGATGCTGTAAGATCTAGAAAAACTGCAGATTGGAAACTTTCTTTAATGATACCGTTCATGGTTGCAACATTATACAGAGTTTCGCCATCTTGCTCTTTTGAGTCAACTATTTTACATGGAAGTATTGTCGGAGAAGTATTGGTGCGATCGACATCGGTTATTTTCAGGCCAACAACATCGCCAACATGATAAGTTCGTTGTCGTTTAGAAGACTTGCTCATATATCTAGTAAGCTGTGCATGAGCATTGTTCAAATAACATTCTTCAGCATTTTCACGAATTCGTTTGTGACGATTGACAGCAATGGATTCAGGTTTCGGTTCAACATCATTAGATACAAATATAGTTCCATCGACAAGTTCTTCATGATCGATGCATAAATCGGAACGTATTTCTTCTTCATTATTCTGTGCTGATTGATCACCCGTACCGGCAGCTGCATCGGTACATATTCGCTCTTCATTTGAATCTTTCGTTAGTTGATCAATTAGTGAACCTTCAATATCATCTTCATTTGAATCTTTCGTTGATTGATCAATTGGTGAACCTTCAATATCATCTGCTTGTTGGGTCATGTCGAATATATCAGCCGGTAAATCTTCTTCAAGCATGATATAGTTTTCTTCGTCTTGTTCCTTGTTTTTCAAATGAGCTTCGATGCATTTCCAAGTATAGTCGTCTGTCCGCGGTTGCTGTCCAAATACTACTTGAAAAGGTGTTTGATTAATGGTTCGAGCTACACTTGTATTAATAGCATACATAACAGGACCAAGTCCTGATGGCCAATCAGTGGTAACATTGGTATCTAACCATTTACCTAGTAATTGCTGTACAACGGCGTTGCCTCTTTCCACTAGTCCTTGCGACTGTGGATGTCTTGGGCGTCCATTGATTATCAGTAATCCCGGCCATAATTTTGTCAAATCAAGAATTACTTTGGCAACAAACTCACGGCCGTTGTCCGACTGTAATATTCTTGGCGGTCCGAATTGATAAAAAATAGATTTTAATACTTCAGCCACATTAATTGCTTCTTTTGAAGTTAATGGATAAAGCCAAGAATATTTTGAAAAATGATCTTTTGCATGAAATATCCATTTAAAACCATTGTGTTCAACACTTCTCATGTCTACCAGATCAATTTGCATTCTTGTCATAAATCCAACCGATACTATTGGTTTTCCTGTCACTGGCTTTGGAAACACCTTTCTGCTGACACACTGGTCACACAATCCAATAAAAATCTTCACGGTGTTCAGTGGTACGAAAGAAAAACGATGTTTAATCTTATATAAGAAAGAAAAAATAATTCATGAAGCTTGCTTTATCATTGAAGCTTACTTCATGCCAGGTTTTGTCTCTGCCCAAGTGTCCAACAGCTGTGTGACATTCATTGATCTTTTCAAATAAATCTTCATAGGTCACCACTGGTAACTTTTGCTTGAATGAATACAGAACATCTTGTTCAGCAATTTTCACCAAGGTAAAATGTTTCTTAGCCCAAAATTTTAATTGTGACTGGTGTTTTCCTTCAATATCCTTCAAAACTTGGACGATTTGATTGTAAATGTCTCTCTTAATTAAATATTTGCTTTGCTTTTTCACATCTAGTGTTGTCACAAATTCATTCACTTTCGTGTCGAATGCTTGCTCCATTATGTTGAGATTCACTTATGCCTATTGTTGTTGAATTTACTATTCAAGTCTCGGTGAACAAAGACTTATATATTTCAAATTATTTTATGCACATGTAAATGTGCATAGAAGTTTTATTTATACACATTTCAATCTGAACTAGTTGAGATCAAAATATTTTAATATGAACTAGTCCACTGTGAATAGTTCAGATTAAAATTTCAATTTGTCCTAGTTTCGATTAAAATTTCAATTTGTCCTAGTTTCGATTAAAATTTTAAAGTCAACTAGTTTACTTCAGAATGCGTTTTAATGTCAACTAGTTGACTTCAAAATTTTAATCGAAACTAGGACAAATTAAAATTTCAATCTGTCCTAGTTCGATTTTAAATCGAACTGAATTTCAATTGATCCTACGACATATATATACAGTAAAACCTCTGTTAGTGA